AGAGAACTGCCTCCAATCCCCTTTTGTCTTCCTGTAGAGAACAATGGAGAGGAGGGGAAGAGGGCCACTCCCAGCAACCCAACTGCATCAATACCAAGGAATGGGAGACAGCCGTTCAGTGTCACCCCAGGGTCTCTGATATGGAACATGTTCTGACGATACTGCTTAAATGGTTTTGACAGTTCTGAGATGCCATTGAGGTTGGTGGTCCAAGGTTGAGGAAAACCTTCCCTGATGCAGTCCACCTTAGAGTCATATGTAGGTCTCAATGAATTGGTTGTCATGTCCCCATGTGCATCTATGCATGCCATCTACTGTACAAGCTTTGGAAACCAAGGAGACCCTGTTCTGATACATGTACTCCATGATCAGACCACATTTCCTGTGATTTTCACTGTGCCTGGAGTTCAGAGTCCAGTGATCCAGTTGGGAGGAAGGCCCAAAACAAACCTCTCAGAGGTAACCCCAACTAGACTCCTGTGTGTGCCAGCCAGTACAGGGTCCAGCACAGCTGTCTATCACATCAATCTGCAATCACACACTGTTAATTGCAGTCACCTGTTCTATCCCCACCCCATCTAGTACTCAAACCAACAGATGCTGTGGATCAGCCTAAACCTGCCCACCACACACTCTGCCCTCATGTACATGAGTGGAAATAATAGCCTAGTTAAAGCACCCCAAATAATCCCCACTAAACCCATCACCTGCCCTGGTTTCTGTACATGCCAGTATCTTCAGCAGACTGGTCATCTGTCTTGCATCCCATTCAGCTCTCACAGATATCAATAGACATTGGAACCTAGCTTAATCCAAATGACCCCACTATCTAGCGCATAATACGATGACAGAGCCCACTTCCTATCTAGCAAAACCTACTCCCAGCCCTGATTTTTATGCTCACCAGTAGGAGTTGCAGCCCAACAGTTTCCCTCCTGAGCCCACTCCCAGCACCAGATCTTGCATCTAGGACTTGCCCCCAGTCCCAGCACTTGCCAGCTGATATTGCAACAAAGCTCAACCAGCCTGTACTTAATATGGCCTATGCATATACTAGTGGATATGGTTGCTTAGCCCAGACTGGCCCTCCCCTTAACCCAGCTCACACACAGGCCTAGTCTAACCATCTTGCTCTGCCCTCAGACTCAGCTCTCGTACTCCCCAGCAAGAGCAATTACAACCCAGGAGAGTCCCTGCAGTTTCCATGTAGGGCTCGATTCCCCAAAACAGGTCTTACATGTGCTGGTGGGAGCCATGACCCAGACTGGCATGGCTCACCTAACCTTGGCATCCACCAGTGGGTGCTGCTGCCTTGTTCAGCCTAGCCTGCCACAGCTCCTGTTCATGCTGGAAGATGCTCTTCTCTAGCCCAGCCCAGCCAGCCCCCAGTCCTGGCCCTAATGTGAACTGACTGATGTTGGAGCCCAACCCAGGCTAGTTTGCACCCCATCCTGGTTCTCACATCTGCCAACAGGTGCTATGAACTGACCCAGCCTGACACAGATCAAAACTGACCAACATGTATTCCAGGGAGTAATGTAACCTGGTTTTGTATTGGCTGTTCCCAGCCTTGGTTCTTGTGTTCACCTGCAGGAACCTCATCCTGACAGAGGAGTTCCCAAGCTCCTTTATCAGGTCACCTCCCCATGCCACATGTTGCATACGAGTGGATCCTTGATCCAGCCTGACTTGGCCTATCTCCTGTAATGGCAGGAGCAGTGGCCTTGCCCAACCAGCTCACAACCATTACGGCTCATGCAACAGGGTTCTACAGATCAGCCACACCTTGTTCTCCCCTAGGCTCAGCAGGTAAAGAAGCCTAGACCAGCCTGTCCTACACCTACCTTGACTCTTGTGAACACCAGTAGGTGCTGGAGTCTACCCAATCTGGCATACGCCAGATCCTCTCCAAACACATACCAAGGGATGCTGCAGCCTTGTTCACCAATTCAATGTTCCCATTCTGACTATCAAACTCACTAGTGAGAACCACAGCCCAGCAAGTGTGTCCTTTTAGCTCTCTGAGAAGGTTTACTCCCAGCCACAGATATTGTACTTGCCAGAGGTCCCTCTGACTCAGCCCAGCATAACCCATTTCCCATCTTGACCTTTGCCATCAGGGGCTGCACCCTAACTTGGCCTGGCCCTCCCGCAATCCGAACTCTCACTGGTGGGTGCTGAAGCTTACTAGTCCTGCCCAGCATGTCTCCATCCCTGTCTTTCATGCAAACTAACTGTAATATCCTAACCTAGCTCAGCATGACCCACACTCCTTCCTCATTCACACATGAAGCACGCTTGCTTTGGCCTGGCCTGGGCTTGCCCAGTATGCCCCCTATTGAGTGAACCCACACACCTGCTGACAAGTGAAATAGTCCTACCCAACCTGACCAACACTGAGCCCTGTTTCAAGTGTTCATGAGCAAACACTATGCCCTACCAGGGGAGTTTCCCAAGTTCCCACACCAGGCCCACTCTCAGACCCAGATGTGGGTGCTATGCCCTTACTAGGCACACTCTGTCCCCCAGTGCCAATCTTTGTGTGTGTGGTGGTGAATATCGTGGCCTGGCACACCCTACACCCATAAAACATACAACAACTTTCATCCAAAATACAAAATGAAAGTCTATATAGATTAACAAGTATACACTTGTCATCTCATAATGGTGTAATGAAGATCAGAGTACCAGGAATGAAGAAAGGACTGAAGTATACATCTCTACTCCTGAATAAAAATAAGCCCCCAGTAAAACTATTAAATATTCCTTTAACAATAAAATACTAGACTCTTTATCATTGACTGTAACTACAATTTTATGATACAGGTAAAAAGCAAAGTACAGAGGTTGAGACTACAGCTGAAGGACAATATTGTTGTAAAACACAGGAACAATGAGGAGAGAACAGGAAGATAGAAGGGAAGGGAAGAAATTCATACATTATCTTAAAAATGAAGCTCATTGTTATTTGATTTTTTTGTCACCTATCTCTACTGAGGTTGCATATTGATGCCTTAAATTAATATTCTTGATATAAGATTATCATAGAGATAAAAAAAATGAATGAGTCATTAATTCTACCACTCCATGTAATGACTTAGATTGCCCATTTTTATATTTTTGAAATTTCACTTAGTTTTTTTTTTCATTTGAGAGATAAAAGAGAATTTTCAATCTCCTTGTTTAGTCTTTAAATGTGCCAACAGCTTGAGCTGTGCCAAACCAAGCCCAGAAGCCAAAAATGCCTCTGAGTCTTCTACATGTGTGGTAAGACCAAGTTATTTGGCCCATATATAGTACTTTTGAAGCACACTGGTAGGGAACTGGTTTGAAAGAGGAGGTAGGGGGTTGGGTAATGGTTTAGTGGCTAAAATCCCCACATTTTACATATTGAGATTCCTTAAGGTCACCAGTTCCTATCACAGCTGCTCCAGTTCCCTTCAAGCTCTCTGATTGTTGCCTGGGAAAGCAATGATGGATTGGCCAAAGCTTGGGGTCCTGTGCCTTCATAAAAGATCCGGAGGAGGCTTCTGGCTCTTGGCTTCACATTAGCTCAACTCCGACCATTGCGGTCACTTGGGGAATGAACCCATGGTTGGAAGATCTTTCTCTCCTTCTCTCTGCAAATCTGCCTTTGCAGTAAACATAAAATAAATCTTTATAAAAGACAGAAGGAAGGAGATGGTAGAACTCAATCCCAGATACTTCAATATGGGAAGGTGGGACCCTAACTGAAGTGTTGATCTTTAACAATGTTTGTCCCTTCAAAATGTTTGACTACTGAAACGCTGAAAGTAGCAAGAGTAATAAATATGTAGGATTTGATCTATAACACAATTCTGATGATTCTCTTCCACGTGCATCTTCATGTTTACATTGGTCATGATGACTAATGAATTTTCAGAAGTTATTTCATTAAAAAAGAAGTAGTGGTGCATTTAAGCTTTATTATTGCCTCATACCAATGAATACGTACCAGGTTTCTCAATTTTAAAAATTAATAGAGTTAGAGGACACTAATAAATTACACTTTTCTTCTTTTCCTTTTACTATTTACTGTATATTTTGTTGATAGTGGTTGATTACATATTCAAGGTTTAATAAATGAAAGTGCTCATTCTTCTTATTGAGCATATCTTAATTAATTTCATTAGTAGAATCTCTAAAAGCAATTTAGCATTGCAGCAAAAGCCTGTAAAAATCTTCCTTGCATCAAAAAATTACAATAATGCCCTTCTTCCTGCTGGCTATGGAAATATATACAGATTATTAAATTAAAATGCTACCTTTAACTCTGCTGTTTTTTTTCCCTCACAGTCAATGTTTTGATTACAAAGGCCTTGTGTAATAGTTTTTAAAAGTAAGACAGGAGGAGCATTTTTTTTCCATTTAAATCATTTAGAATAATTTTTTTAAATTATTGCATGTATGTGGATCTTAATTGACTGCTTCCTTTGCTATGTATTATAAGAAAAGAATACATAAAAGATATAAATTTCTTGTTTTTAGGAGCCTCGGGTATTACAGGAGTTAGAAATCATCTTCTCTGAGAGGTTAAACTAAAAATGGTAGTTTTTAAAGGAAAGGAGGGGAAATCTAACTTTATAGTGAGCAGAATAAATTTCCTAGACTCAATTTGTCATTCTTAAAGGGAAGGGTTTTTGTCTTTTATTTTATGCCATGCTATCTAGTTATATAGGGAAATTTAACAAATGGAGAACTTCAATTTATGAACAATTAGAGTTTCATGTTGAAAGTATCACTTTTTAAAGTATATTTTACTAGACTGCAATGAATGAAGTGGTCTGAAAAAATTGCCTGGCCAACTTTAACCAGAATCTCAGTCTATTTGATAAAATACATATATTTCACTGGTGCATCATAGTCAAATAGAGGACTGTATCTGAATATGCACACAAAACTTTCTTACTGTACTCATCCAATAACCTGATATTCCAGTAAATCTTGGATTTTTTGCTAATCTTGGGAATGAAGTATATCTAATCTCGCTTTTTCTTCCTTCCTGTATCTACAAACTTTTGGCAAATAAACAGACACGTTTTTATGACAAGGAAAGAAATGATTGTCACACAGGCCAACAGGAACCCAATCACATCCAGAGAGTGGTACTGGTACCAGGTGAGATCGTGAGCTGCAACCCGAAGGTGTTTGGCTCCTTTGTGGCGCATGACATGCTCAATCCAGAAGGCTGCTCGATCCAGGGGCTTCATGGGCTGATCGTGGTGGATTCTTGATAATGTCATAACGTTCTCTTTATAGCTGAAGAAAAACAAAGTAGTTGTCAAGTTATACATGAAAAAGTGATATATGTAAATTATTCATGTAGATGATAAAATAAATATCACCTAATCATGGAAGAAAAATGGATTATTTTCTTCTGTGATTATTCCAGATTTTACCTGTTAGACTAGAATCTCTTGAATCCATACAATTTCAGCATATATAGAGAAATATCATTTTAATATTCCACTGTGGAAATTTGGATTGTTATTTATCCCTGAATGTTAGAAAACACACACACACACATACCCTTTTGCTTATCTGAACTTAAATTTCACAGCCAGAATTATGAATAAAACTGATATACAGAGTTCAAAATAATATCAAAATTAGATATAAAAGGCAAGTTTGTGACAAAACCTATCACATGTCTTGGCAAAATTGATAAGGTTGTCATTCACTAAAATTTAAATGCTCATCTTACAACATTAGATTAATGATTAAAGTTATAAGCCATTAAGCTACCTTATTTGAATTCTGCCACTGAAACTACCTTTGCCTTTTTTGTAAATTTCTCTCTTTCTAGCTTTTCATCCCTAAATAGCATGGGTAGGAATAGTACCTTTCATGTTTAATAGTGTGAGTGAACGATAATGTATTGATTCTTAGGATACTTTCAATTCCTATCCTACAGTAGAACATTAGGAAATGATTTGTTTTTAGTATTATGATCACAGAATCCAAGATACTCAACATTTTACTTTGAGATTTTGCGATTTCATTTATGTGCAACATTGAAATGATGAAGAAGAGTTAAGGATGAAGGGTTTGTGTAGGAATATTACTAATCAAATCTAAACCACCAAGTGCTGTAGCATGACATGGGAAGAATAGAAATGAAAGTAATTACTCTTTCTTTTATTCAAAAAGCACACTGGGAAACTCCGGAGAAGTGCATCAATTAAGAACATGTATGTAATATAAAAGAGAAAGACTGCAGTGAGTAAGTTTCATATACTGCATGCAAAATGTGGTACAATGTGTATCATATTGTACACATTCACTGTGTTTGGAAATTAAGATATTTTCTTCATTTTGCAGCATTCCATGCATTAACTTATTAATTTAGATATGCATTCAAGATAGGCTTATTTTTGCATGAAACCAAAAAGAATGATATGTTCTCTTTCAAAAATAAAAAGCAATAGTATTTCTAAAGGTGCTTATTAGGATAGACAAAAGATGTAATAAATTTGAAGCTGTACATATTTTAAAATTGGTCAACTTTAATAATATTGGTATATTGGCCCAACACAATGTATTATATCCATTTGAACTCACTGGAAAAAAGGGGGGAATATATATATTACATATATGTATATACTATATACATATAGATATACACAGAGTCACAAACATACACATCTACATATATAATGTATATTACATGCATATATGGTATATAATACATAATATATGTGTATGTGTACATATATAATTAAGCTAGTAACAACAATATAAATGGAAAATTTGGGGGCATCAATTATTTCTCAATTCAAAATTATTTTTTAAACAGAAACCAGAAGATAGACCCGCATCTCTCACTATACACTAAGATCAAATCTAAATGGATAAAACATCTAAACCTACACCCAGAAACCTTCAAACTTCTGGAAGAAAATGTAGGAAACACTCTGCAAGAGCTAGATGTAGGCCCTGACTTTCTAAATAGAACACCAAAAGCAATAGCAATCAAGACCAAAATAAACAAATGGGACTTCATCAAACTAAAATGCTTCTGCACAGCAAGGGAAAGAATCAACAAAGTAAAAAAACAAAACAAAACAAAAAAAAAAACACAGAGTGGGAGAAGATCTTTGCACACTACATAGGTGATAGCGGGCTAATCTCCAGGATATACAAAGATCTCCAGAGAAACCAAAACACCAAAACAAACAAACTACTCAAAAAAATGGACACAGGAAATGGGCAGACATTTCACAAAAGAACAAACCCAAATGGCAAACAAACATATGAAAAAATGTTCAAGTACCCTACCAATAAGGGAAATCCAAATGAAGACATCAATGAGGTGCCACCTAATGCCAGCAAGGATGGCAAACATACAAAAAACTGCCAACAACACTTGCTGGCAAGGATGTGGGGAAAAAGGAACCCTTCTCCATTGTTGGTGGGGCTGCAGGTTGGTGCAGCCTCTACGAAAATCAGTATGGAGAACACTCAAACAACTGAAAATCTGCATGCCATATGATCCAGCAACAGCACTCCTTGGAATATATCCAAAACACCTGCTACACAAGAAACCTACATGCACCACCATGTTCATAGTAGCACAATCAATAATTGCAAAGACTTGGAAGCAACCGAAATGCCCATCAACAGAAAACTGGATAAGAAAGCTATGGTTTATTTATTCAATGGAATACTACTCAGCTATTTAAAAAAAACGAAATGCAGTTCTTTGTGGCCAAATGGGCCCAACTGGAAACCATCATGGTAAGGGAAATGAGTCAATCCCAAAATGTCAGATATCCCATGTTTGCCTTAATTTAAGTTGAAATGCTGTCAATTTGTACAAGGGTACCTGTGAAATGTAGTATTATTACATTGTTAACTAATCCCATAATGTTGGAAATGGTTGTTGATGCTATGTTATGGCATTTAATTGGTCGGAACAATAATCTGCCAGCTATGTCTCCAGACCAGAGTTGATCTCCTCCAGAAAGTGTTGAATTCAGCTGGGCAATAAGATACTGGACACTATGCAAGGCACATGCTTGCACTGAAGGAAAACAAGAATAGATTTGAACTGTAATACTGCAATACGGTGTTGGAGCAATCTACCATGGGGGGAGGGGAAGAGGAGGGGAAGGGGGAACATCAGAGCCTATAAAATGTTGTTATAAAATTAAATGCAATAAAAAAACTCCAACAAAACCAGTGATAGTCTAATTTGACTGTTTCAAGTCAACTATTTTTATCTTCTAGATAAGCAAAAACAAATAAACATGTGAGCCAAGACATACTTGTATTTCTAACAAGTACCTTCCTCCTCTTTCAGTAGCTTTGATTTGATAAATTTGGAAACACTAGTGTTTTCCATTTATCAGTATTATCACAGAAAACTGACAAAGTAATAAAGGTGATGGGAGTAGTAAGTCCCATAAGGCATCCTGCTTTGTAGTTAATAAGCCATTTTAGAAGAGATCAAAAAATAAATCAATGTGAGAGATGAAGATGTTAACTTGCTTCATTTTAGGAAATTTTTACTATCTACATCCATCCCATAACATCACGTTATACACCTTGAACATGCCGGCCATAATTTACTATGAAAATAACATTTTGTAAGTTATCATGTTGGAAGTAAGTCACAACAGTATTGAAAGTAGGCTGTTACTGGTAAAGCATTTCTTGTTCCATGCTTCATTTCTGTATTTGCTTAATGTTGTGTTCTAATACTTTCATCTTCATTGACAAATGCTTCCATCAGACTTAATAAAAATACTGTGAAACAATAATGCTTTGGTTATTGCCTTCGAGTGTTGAGAAAATTTGTACGCATCTTTATGGTTATGTTCAAACTTGAGTGATGCTCCCTTTACTACATGTGAAAACAATGTATAAAGACTATGCTGTTTTAAAGAAGGAAATACTCACGAAGGGTCATTAATGACTGTCTTCAAGGCATTGAGCAAATCTTCACTTGACATGGTTTTCCAGTTCAGTCTCACAGCTGCTCCCTTGGCTGTCATGTAGGCAACGTTATCAGGTTGCTCCCCAAACAAAGGGATGCCCACCATAGGGATGCCATGGTGGATTGCCTCATAGATGCCATTGGCTCCACCATGAGTTACAAACGCTCTGGTTTTGGGATGACCTGGGACAGATGAAGTTTCAATTAAATTATTAAGTGAGAGTCTGAGAAATAAGGTAAGAATTGTACAGTATGAGAAACTAAATGGAAGAGTTCTCTGAACAAAATAATATGAGAATGACAGAGATCAAAATGCATTAAAACTGCCTGTAGATCAAAAGAAAGAGACACCTTGTGGACTGTAAAAGTGACTAAAGGACAAATGGGGCAGTTTGAATCTCTTGTGCAATGAGAACAAGAATAAAATGTGTACATACACAAAGACAATTCTCTGTACCAATAAAATAAAAACTTTATTTCCTAAAAAAATATATGAGGCTGAGTACAAGTGAGAATGTTTTTCTTGACCATGTATTACATTTACTAAGTCTAATACTTGGATGACCAACAGAGTATAAAGCGGCAATGCAATAACACTGGAAACACTGAAAAAGAGAGCACACTTTTTTTAAAGGGAGTTACCATTTTACCATAAAAATTATGGATTTAATACAATGGAAAATATAGAGCCATTTAGAGCAATTTAGAGGCATTTGAAAATACCTCCATTAGGAAAAAAGATTGAAATAATAATTGAATTAAGACATAGGTGGAGGCCCAGCATCTTGGCCTAGCGGCTAAAAGTCCTCGCCTTGAATGTGCCGGGGTCCCTTATGGGCGCCAGTTCTAATCCCAGCAGCTCCACTTCCCAGCCAGCTCCCTGCTTGTGGTCTGGGAAAGCAGTCAAGGATGGCCCAAAGCCTTGGGAACATGCATCTGTGTGGGAGACCTGGAGGAAATTCCTGGCTCCAGATTGGCAAAGCACAGGCCATTACGGTCTCTTGGGGAGTGAGTCATCAGATGGAAGATCTTCCTCTCTATATCTGACTTTGCAATGGAAATAAATAAATCTAAAAATAAAGGACACAGGTGGTGTAGGATATTGTTGAAAGCTCTCTGAGAGGTAAATCAAAGATGCTCTGACTCCACTAACAGAGAATGTGTCTGTGTATAGTACAATGCTGACTGTTAAAATTTATTTCAATTCTTCTAGGACTACAAGATAAATTTATGTATGCCCATTGAGTTTCATGCTGAGCTGTTCTTAACTTGGTTAACTGTTACTCTTCATTTCACCCTTCGTTCTCCAAACACTTACCAAGAAGATCATTCTGAGGGATCCACTTAAAGATTCGAGTATTGGGTCCTAGGGATTTTGGTTCCTTCCCATCAAACCTCCAAAGAACCTATTAGGTAAAGAAAATACCTTATTTTGCAAGGTGAATTCCAAATGATCTACAAGTTAGAATACTAGAAACACTGAGAGATGACCTAGGTGAATCCCTTCCATAAGAAAGATTTCTATTAAATGACTTATTTATTTTTATTGGAAAGTTAGATATACAGGAAGAGAGCTAAAGAGGAAGATCTTCATTCACTGATTCACTCCCCAAGTAGCTGCAATAGCTGGAGCTGAGCCTTTCCAAAACCAGGAGCCCAGAACTTCTTCCAGGTCATCCATGCAATGTGCAGGGTCCCAAAACTTTGAGCATTCTTCACCTGCTTTCCTAGGCCACAAGCAGCGAGCTGGATGGCAAGTGGGGCAACAGGGATTAGAACCGGCGCCCATATGGGATCACGGCATATGGAAGACAAGCAGTTTAGCCACTTGGCTACCATGCCTATTATCTTATAATTATTATTAGAAATGAAGATGTTCAAATAGTAGGAAAAAAGAGCTGGTTCATATTAATTTGGCAGTGAAAGTAAATCCAAATAATATTAATACTAACTTTTTCTTTAATTAACTTTTACCTCTTTTGTAATGCACTATCATGCTTTGACAATCCTTATTGGTATGCTCTGATGTACCAAACAAACTCCATACCACTACATAAAGAAGGTGCTGGTTTGAATCTCTGAACAAATCTCATAAACTGGAGCACAAAGTAGAAGTGTTTCAGTTCTATTTGCTCTGTGATTTGACATCTCAAGAAAGTAATAAATGCATGCATACATAGTAGCATTTCTAAAGCCTACATCCAATAAAAATTAGTTCATACATACCCAACCATAAAAGCTACATAATGTGCCTTAGAATAATTTGTCTCTACTATATTTTATAGAGTTGGGACATCTTAACCTCTTCCCAGGCCATTCTTAACTTCTGCTTGATTTGTTACATTCCTTTCTCCTTCCTCAATGTGGAAAAGCTGTTAATCTGAGGGGCAAGAAGCAGTCTTTATCCATCCGTATTATTACAATGCACAGTGACTGTCTCCGGAGCAGGACCCACTGCTGCTCTTTCTCCTACATCTTTCTGATCCAGATACTGACAGGATCCAGTCCCCTGAGACAGACCCAAATTTGTCTAAATCCACTTAGCTAAGGAGTGACACTCATCCTTCCTTGATCTCAAAAGACTTGTGAATGGCTGATAATCAGAGCTACTCTCAAATTAGGTGAATCATAATGTCTGAATTACATGAGAAATCTAAACTGCATGGTGCAATTCCAAGTTTTTCAACACCCACACATATTTATAATGCAAAGACTACAGTTCATATTTAAATCCTTTGTGACAACATCGCTAGTGTGCACAGTAATTCAATACTACTGGAAGGGAAATGAACAAAGAACATGGTAAAATTTGATGATTTCTTTGTTCCTTCCTGCATATTTTTGTATGCTGCTAAAGCTTTGAATCTATTAATATATGTCTGATACCAACATTAGTATCAAAGTTTTCTGAAATCAAATCACTCAGCACTGGGTGTCTCTCCCTCTCTGCTTTCAAGAGGCACCCCTCCTGCTGGTTCTCTCCAGGGAGATACTTTATCCTTCCCTCTTCCTTCCTCCTTCACCTGGTCACTTTGCAAACTGAAAACAACAACTAACTACTCAGCCCTATTGTAGTGTGTTTTCAAACTGGTATCTGATAATTAGAACTATCCTAGCAGTTTACTTATAACACAGGAAGTTTCTGTAATCGGAGTTTAACAGGATCTTTCAATACTTGCCCACAATTAGAACACTCTTTCTGACCTTTTGTGGAAGCTGGGCAAGGGCTGATGCGATCACATTGGCCCTCTCTTCTGTCCCATGACCAAACATTGAACCCGGAGAAAACACCACAACTCCCTCTTCTCCAGAGCTTTGCACAAAGTCTTCCATCTCCTGCAAAGAAAGTGATTGTTCCGTCATAGGGAAGCAACAGCACAGAAGGTACTAGCGAAACGACTAGTGAAATCAGGATTTTCAGGAATCATTAGAGTGAATACTGGCTAAAATATATGCAATGTAAAATTTGCCACTTCTCAACTTGTTAGTATAGAAGCCAGATGGCTGTTTAAATATAATCCCATTATGTGCCAACCATTTCCAAAATGTTTGCCCTTTATTTAAAAGAACCTTACATTCAGTGTACATTCTGGCATGTATTAAATAAACTTAATATAGTTTTTCTTTCTTTTTAGCTGCATGAGAAAAGTGTGATCATATTCTATTTAACTTCTCATTCATTGCTTTCTTGTTTTTTTTCAAAGATTTATTTATTTAAGATAAAGTTTGAGAGGATGTTTATTTAAATTATGTTGTCATCTGGACAGGTAAAAATCATCATGGTTAACCTAGACATGTATTTTCAAAATAGATACTGCATTATAACTATTTAGTAAGTTTTAAGTTTTGTGTGACTGCTATTAAAAAGCAAATAAAAACATTTTAAAGAAGCCATGCAATATAACGGCAAAGAATTCATAGGTACATGCAAAATTGAATTAATGTAGATTTCTATTCCTTTTGAAATTCATTCATAGTTTTCCATAAATTTTTAAGACTCTTCATATACATTCCAAAATGTATTCCGAGATAAATGTCTTAAAAGTGTAATATGCATTTAAGATATGTTAAATCCTTGTACTCATAAAAATTACATCCCATATACTCAGAGTTCTCTTGTAATTATAAACTAAAAGGCTATTCTCAGATACAAGTGGTAGGAATGATTACATCTTTATTCCACGTGCAGGGAATATTTTCCCTGCACTTATTGTCAATGAGATACGATGCTGAAACCCAGTCCCTCAAAGGAAAGGCCTTTCCTTGAAGGAAAAAACAGAAAACAGCTGCAGTGGTAAAAGAATCCATCTCTTCAATGCATATTTGAGATTTCAATGAGGAATGGCATATTGATGTGCAGGTGCAGATATCTGACAGAAATAATTTCCTATTGACATCAAAGATATTTTGTGTATCATCTCTACTACTAATATTTTCCATATAGTACAAGACAGCAATAGTCATGTCTATGTATTCTGTACTTTAGTTATTTATCATCTTTGCCTGCACCATTACAGTAATGCTTTCCTTTTCCATAGATTGTTTCTCTATAAATGAACCAAAAGACTTCCTTTTAAAGGGTTCTATCTCTTAACAGATGTCTATTCATCTCTCCCCAGCTCAACTCTTCTCTGACCCCTTTGCCAACATCCTCACTAAATATTTTGACTTCTTCCTTGAATGTGGATCCAAGTAACCTCTGTAAAAGAACCAGCCTCTGTATCCAACCATTCTTCTGTACTAAACAGGTATTTCTTGGGACCCACAGTAACTACTCTACTTGCTTTTAGTTTCATCAAAATATCCTGTTATGTTACTCTAGTTGTTTGTGAATTATTATGGAATCTGATTTCATGTAAATATGTGAGTTTCCTGTTGAGTATTTATTTTCCATAGCTCCTTTTCCCCATAAACCTAATGCAACAAATGAACAATGAAAAGTCATTTCCACTGAAAATCGAACATAAACAAAACAAATCACACAGAAACATACATACCTTGGGGAGAGGCTTGGCAGGTTTGCAGTGGAGCCCTCCAACAAATTGTACATTTGGTAAGGTTGGGCGAGGAAATTCCAAGTCCCAATAGCTTCGGATGAGCCACATGTCAGCTTTCTTCACCAGGTCATAGAATTTAACAGGTCTTCCTGAATGGAGTAAGAAAATGCAGGGGAAAGACCACTGTCAAATGAAGTAGAACAGGAAATTTCTGAAAGACACTGAAATGATTCAGTAAATTATAAATACAATATGTATTGATAAAATAAATATGCTTCTCTGCTTAAGTTATCAGCTTGCTTTATGTCTTGTTTATGCATTAGGTCTATGCAAAGGTAACGTGAATAGAAATTATGTCATTAATGTTACTTGAATATATTTATAATCATAATCAACAACATAGTCCACAATATACCTACACGTGTATTTTTTCTTCCTAAAGTTGAAAAGAAGAAAACAGAAATGTGTCCAACTATTTTAGCTTCAGAATTGACCATAACCATAGATAGAACTTTCTTACGATTGCACAGTCCAGGTTCACAATTTACCAGTCTAGCTCTTAAATGGATTTTCACGGTGGACAGGAGTATTTTTTCTTTTTTCAATTTTACTTTTTGCTTCCTTGAAAGACAGATAACAAAAACCTTTCTAGCTACTGGTTCATTCTCCAAATGCTCACAACAGCTAGGACTAGCCAAGCAGAAACTGGAAATCAAGAATTCCTTCTGGGCCTCCCACACAGACAGCAGGGACCAAGTACTTGAGTTGGCATTCCCTACTGTCCAGGTAGAGTCACACTAAACTCAGCTGCCCTGGCATCCAAAAAGAACAAATGAAGGGTCATGGTTCTCAGTGGCATTTTGACAGACATTTTTAACAAAGACATGAAAAAGCACCAAAGATTCTTTCCACAGCAGACAGAGACAGTGATGTGCCCAGCCTTGTGCTGCAGCCAGCTGCCTGCTGTGTTTTGCCATTTTCCTGTGAAATAACAGGAAGAAACCACTGCATCCCCACTGATCATGGCTTCACCTGAGAAGAAACGCCAGAAGCTGCTGGGTTCTGAACATCTGCTCAGCTTAAAACAGGCAAGCTGCATTTCTTCCCTCCCCCGCAACAGCCCTGCAATGAGCCATACTCACAGCATAAAGTCATACAACACACATATGCCCTAATCCTACCAGAATCAGAGTGACAGTCAGGGACATGTTGAACAAAACAGAGATCCCCCGCGTCCTGCAACTGTGAGTTTTCGGGCATTATCCCAGAGCTGTGCCTATACACTCTACGTGACCCATGGAGATTCACCATAGTATCTGGGGACAAACACTGCAAGGAGTTGATTAAGTAGAAAAATATGCTCCCCATCTAGGATAGCTGGGTTATGAATGCACGGTATCCTGAAACACCAGGACTGTAATGATTAGCTCTAAATTTTTCAGTGTTACTGGAATCTACTCAGTGTCTTTGGGGAAGAACTCAGATTTCAACTTTTCAGACTCTTATCTGCCTCAGAAAAATTTCCTATGTACTTTATAGTCACCCTTTGGGTTTAGAGCATCATTCGGTTCACTGTGCCTAGTCCCAGGAATAGGAATGTTTGTGTTGTATGCCCAAGCACCAGTTGTATTCCAGAAAGTTCTGAAAAATCGCATCAGCATCACATGCTTACAGAGCCACACTGCTATGCAGCCAGCCCTGGCATCAAGCTTGCCAGTGCACAAGGGAACAACTAACTACCTTTGCCTCCCTCAGCACTAAGAGCAAAGTCCTGGCCAGCACAGTCAGGTCTGGTACTGAGCTCTCTGTAGACCAAAGATGCGTACTCTAGGATATCCACTTTTATTCCAAAATCACATTTCTTGTCAGTTAACTACAATGGCATTATACACTTAAGTAGCAGAATGCTAAACTTGTAGCTGTTACTAGGGGACTACACTACTGTAATAATATGTGTAAAAATGGTAGGAGAGGAAATGGGGAGGGAGGAAGAGAATAAAGGAAGGAATCCTTATGTTTATACAACTATATCACAGAAAAAATAAGAGCAATAAAAATAATTTTCAATGTAACAGAAAGAATTATTCTGCCACTTGTAGAAAAAAACCTATATTGATTAGGGCAAAACAAATCACTCAGACTAAGTATTTGAGCTCATCTAGAATCAAAACTAAAGCAACAAACCAAGCATTACCCTGTATTCCAGTTAAACCATAAACTCTTTTCTGATAATACTCCAGAAAGAAGAAGTGAATTGTGCTGAATGTGAAGATAGCAACATAAGGACACTGGAAACATGAAGAAGCAGGGCAGCATGATGCCTCCAAAAAAAACATAGTTAATCTTTAGAATTATATCTGAGCTAAAGGAAATCTATAAGAGAGTTACAGAAATAAAAATAATGGTTTTAAGGGAACTCTGTAGATATGACACAAAGAGGCAGACTAAAGATATGTGAAACAAAGTAAGCAACATGAATGAACATAGCACTTACAGAATTCATTAAAAAGAGTCAAATAAAAATGGGACCATATAATATATCATAAATCATATCTCAGCATATTTAAGCAGATTAAACTCTTACAACGTATCTTCTCATGCTGTAAGTGAATAAAACTGGAAATGAATAAAAAGAACAACTCAGCATTCATAAGCACAAGGAAATTAAGCAACATGCTCCTAAATTTTCAGGGAGTTTTGAGGAAGTTAAATAGAAAATACATTTTTTATTGAAGTGCATGAAAATGAAAATACAACATACCAAAACAGGTGGGAAATTACAGCAGTGCGTGCTTACATTTAAAAATAAAAGTCTCAACTTAAACATACAATGATGCATCTCAAAGACAGAGAAATAACAAACTAATTCCCAGCTCAGCATGAGGTGAGAACTAATAAGAATCAGAGAAGAAATAAAATTGAAAATAAAGAATATTAGAAAACAAATCTAGTTGGTTTTTATCTTTGAGAGAATGAAAAATGACAAAATCCCTAGCCAGACTAGGAAAGAAAAGAGAGAAAAATTCAAATTAATAAAATTAAAGTTGATAAAGGACACATTGTAGCTGACCTTATGTTAACACAAGAGGGCATAAGGAACTACTATTACAGAGCTATAGGCTTACAAACTGCAAGATTTTGATGCTATGAGTAAAGTATTCAGCATATGTAACCTGCCAATGTTAAATTGGGAAGATTTAGAGAACCTACACATACCCAAAACAAACAATGAAATTGAAGCTGTAACCAAAGTCTTCCACAAAGTAAAGGCCCAGGAGCTGATGACGTTACTATTAAGATCCACAAAAGTTTCAAAGTGAAAGTAACTCTAATACTTTTTGCTCTTTACTCAAACTTGCTTCTTACTTGGTGAAGCTTTACATATTATGATTGCAATGCAAATATAAAATGTGTCATTGTAAAAATTAATACAGAAAAAGAAGTAGGTTGTAAGGGAAAGAGGATGAGGGAACTGGGTGAGGGGGAGAGGGGCATAAAAGAGAGGTAGGGAAAATCAATTCATTCTATAAATAATTAGAAGATTAACTTGGATGGTTTTTTTAAATAACAAAAACAGAAATTTCTCACATAGTTTTTACTTATTTGTAAGTAAGTAGCATAATTTGGAAAACATAGAGACTAATATATGTTTTCATTTCAATAGAATAATTGATAAATATTTAATAATGTAATCTTGATTCAACACAAAAGCTAAGCAATAATCACTGTACAATAAAACACTGTATCTCTCAACTTCTAGAGAACTGTTTAGATATAATTTTGTAATTAATTCTGTAATTTAATTTTGTAATAATTTTGTACTAAGACTATTCTTATGCACCAGAGAAAGCCATTTGCTCAGTGTTGCCTGCCTACCTGGTATATGGCATGTGTGTGTGACAACTTTATCTGCTTGTCTCCATTTACAAAGAGACTATAAAAGTGGCTCCTGACATTTCTCTACCTTGAGGAATTTATGATAGTGTCATAGAAGATTCTGCACACCTTCTCCCTTGTAGAGGGTGACCTCCTGACCCCTACCGCCAGGGTGCATTCTATCTGACCCTGTAACTTCCAGAACTTCTGTGAGATTAAGAAAGCATTTCCTTCCCTATCTATAACTGCTTTGATTTCTCATCCATAGACCTCAACACTAGAGTCACAGGAAAGTTGAGGACTCCATATTATTAACAACATGACTTACGGCTCAGCACAGTGGCCTAGTGGCTTAAGTCCTTGCTGTGAATGCGCCAAGAACCCATATGCGTGCCAGTTCTAATCCTGGCGGCCCTGCTTTCCATACAGCTCCCTACTTGTGGCATGGGAAAGCAGTTGAGGACAGCCCAAAACCTTGGGACCCTGCACCTATATGGAAGACTTGGAAGAAGTTCCTGAATCCTGGCTTTGGATCAGCGTAGCATTGGCCATTGCAGTCACTTGGGGAGTGAATCATTGGATGGAAGATCTTCCTCACTGTCTCTCTTCCTCTGTATATATCTGACTTTCCAAGAAAAATAAAATAAATCTTAAAAAAAAATGCGACTTACCTAGTACTTCACTGCACAACTGATCCCATCTCTTCTCCTTAAATGTCTGGAACCAAAAGTCAAAATAAAGCATGGACAGCATATTTTTTACCCTCTCCATGAATGTCAATTTCCCACTTAAATCGGACAGAATCAAAGGCACATATGAAGGAGGTGCTGTAAGTCCTCCACTGTACTTTTCCATAGTGTAGGCAGGAGAGAAGCGGAGACTGTACACAAAGGGGATTTGCAGCAGCTCAGCCAGCAGCTCACCACATGGACCAATGGCATCTGAAAGAAGGATGTCAAACTTGGATTCCTGTAGTTTCACCATCAGCTGCTTGTTCAAAACTGCTTCTTTACAGAGATATTCATAAATGTCAGAATGAGCTGCAAGGATGTCTTGTAGTGCTAGGAGATATTTCCAATATGAGTCCTTGTCTGTCTCTGTCCAATTAGTGACCCATTGTGTGAAAAAATCTTCCAGGTCATTCTTAGTGAAAGATACAGGAAACGTTTCAAATTGAATGGCAGTATATTTGCTAGGATCAAGGAAAATGGAAGCTGAGTTTCTCAGAACCATCACCTCATGACCTCTCCGGACAAGTTCATCCAAAATTACATTTAGATTCATCCAGTGACTGTACTCCATAGGCCACACCAGCACCTTTCCACAGTCCGCAGATCTGAAGCAACAGCTCAGCTGTAACAGTAGCAGAACTGAAATGCATTTTACAGACATCCTGGTGAAATGTGATGCTTCCTCCACAGCCGTGCTTTTCTGTCTCTACTTGTGCTTATATCTAAGAAATGTAACAAGAAGTTAAAATATAACTTGCATTGATAAAAGCAAATACATCACATGAACAAGCAGATCTATTCACAGGTATGGTTGTAAAAAAAAAAGCAAAGGTAAGTGATTCTGAGTTGAGAGAGTAAATCTCTGTCTTATCATTAAGTACTTTCCCCCAGGTCAAAGTCAATAGTCTGAGGGTGTAAGTCAACAATGCTAAAAGCTGTGACAAATGTGGTGATGGCATGACACTGAAGTAAGGACAAAATAATTACATAGTTTTTCCACACTTCCTTCATACTGTGGTTGAAGGGACTGCATCTAAAATGTTTATTAAGAGTAATTCGTATATAAAAATAAAACGTCACTAAATAAAAGTGATAATTCAGAGTCATACACAAGACTCAATTGAACATACAATCATGAAGGCTCTCAGCTTTTTTTCACATTTTATTACTCCAAAAGAATCCTGTGGGCAGGCACAGTATATCGACATGAAAATGCTGTGTCACATGCCCACCATCATGTCCTCTTGCCCATTTCAAGTTCCAGCTTTGGTTTTATTCCATCTTTCTGCTCATGTGCTTCTCTTGAGGAACCATGTGATATTTCCAATGGTTGAGTTCCTCCAAGCTACGTGGAAACCCAGACTTATTTGTCATACACTAACCCTGGCTTGGCACAAATCTGGATGCTCTTGGCATTTGTAGAATACATGAGTGGCCATTCTTTATGCCACTGCTTTTCATGAAAAATTAAAAAAAAAAAACTGAACATACAGTATAAATTTTACCCATTATTCTTTTTCATTTTTAAAAAGTTTTCTTTTCAATATTTTTTACATAGTTGAGAGCAATGCATGTCCATGAGGGCTTCTGATCAGGGTAGAGAGTGTTGAGGTATGGAGGAAGGTGGGTGGGACATGTTTATGCTTTCTCTCCTGTGTCCTCACGGAAGAAATGGGTAGGGTCAGTGCTTACTGTCAAACCACATTGGCACCTGGGAATGCCGTAGGGATCCTGATGAGAGGAGCTGTGCTGAGGATGTTGCTTGAGTGGTTTTGATAGTTCTGAGAAGTTGTTGGTTTGGTTGCAGCAGGGGTGAGAAACTCATCTCAAGGTCTTTTGGTGGATCAAGTTCACCTTTGTGATTCTGCAGATCAGGACATTTACTAAAAAAGCCTGGCCAGGAGAGTTGTTCCACTTGCTCTGCTTTCCATACTCTGACAAGGCATGCAACATCTTCTGCTGGCCTAAACAAGGCTGTCATGACCTTGTATGCATCTGGCCATGTTGTACAGTGCCCGTTTCTAACAACTGAGGAGGCCCTGTCCCAATGCATCGACTGCAAGGCTGAATCACATATGCTGTGGTTTTTCTGTGGCTTGGGTTTGAATACAGCCATCTAGATAGGGAATTCCCAAAGAAACTTCAAATGGATGATTTCAGATTTGTCTCTGTGTGTACCAGCTAGTGCTGGGTCAGGTTAGGTTTGCTGCCTACATATATTGGCAATGTACATATTGGTGGATGCCGGTGCCCAGTCAGTTCCTCCCCAGCCCCATCTCTCATGTGAACTGAGAGGTGTTGTGTCCTAGCTCAGCCCAGTCCCCCACAGTCCCAGTCCTCATGCACACCAGAATGTTCCATGGCCTAGTTCCAGCTCTCATTTTACCTGGCAGGTGCCGCAGCCATGCTTGACATGACCCTCACCCCTTCCTGGGGTTCATATGTACCAGTAGGTACTATGGTCTTTCCCAGCATGGCCTGACCCAAGACCCAGTCCACATATATATAAGTGAGTACAGCAGCCTTTTCTCATCTGGTCTGCCTCCAACCCCATCTCTCATGCTCACCAGTTGGAATTGTAGCCTTTCAGGCAAGTTCCCCAAATTTCCCTGCCAGTACAGCCCCCTTTCCTGGATCTCACATGTATTGTACGGCTGTAGCTATGCTTGGCATAGTCCATTCCCAGTCATAGCCTTTGTATGTGCCAGTGTGTGTGTGTGTGTGTTACAAAACGTCCAGCCCAGAATCCTCACAGCCCTGGTCACATGCATGTCTTTCAGTTCTGCCTGGATTGGCCCATCACCACCTCCAGCTCTAGGACAAAATTGTGGGTGCTACAGTCCCACAAATTCTCTACAGAATCTGTCCCCAGATCCAGTTCCTTTGTGTTCTTTTGGGTGCTGTGTTCCATCCTGATGAAACCAAACACTTGCTCTGACGCTCATGGGTGGATACTTTGGCCCAGCCCTGCCAAGTATCTCCTCCAGCCTCAGCTCTCATGCTCACTGGCTGACAGCATGGGAAGTTATTTAGCCTAGCCAAGGTGTCTCATTGGACAAATGTCTTGGCCTAACTTTTACATGCCTTTAGCTTTCACCTTTCTAATGCATGCTGCTTCAATGCCTTTGATTTGCTAGCAGTGTAATGACCATTCCAGGGAAGCCCCCAAAGGTCTCTTCTCATCTGTAAAACATGATCTCAGTGCCTGCTATTCCAATATGTATCTACACCCCTTTCCCTGGGAAATCTGCAGCCCACACCATGCAGCAGCACACGGCATACCTGGGGTCCATGGTGGCCTGTGCAAGTACAGTGTCCCTCACACCATACCGCATAGAATTCACCATATAGCTTAAAGAGCAAATAGGAACTATACTGGCACACCGATATAGTTAACACGGAGTTGGTACTAACCAGGCCAAATGCCTAGAGCTATTGGCTACTTCTCACTCAGTGGTGCAACACTCACCTAGTTACAAGGCAACCAAGGCAACTGACTTATACCTTCAGTGCACCTTTTATTCTTATCCTATATTACTCCTATTTATGACTCCTCCAGTTCCTGGCAAACAGTTTATGTCTCTTTACATTTGTGTATTTTGAACATTTTCTATAAATAAAATGACACAGCACATATGACATTTCCTATAAGTAAATAATACAGCACTCCCCACTTGAGGGGTTGGTCTCTAGCTCCTTCTGTAACAGAATCATAGTGCATGTGTGAACTAAACAATGACTATTTGGTACAGGGAATCCAAGTGTGATATAGAGGAGCTGAGGTGCTGTGTCAGAACTGTGGCGAAATGGAAGAGTGGGGATCTATCTTAGGCACACTTGTGAAAGACTGTGTGATATAAAGCAAGTCTGTGAGAAAGGATGGAGTCCTGATACCTTCAATCTGGCTGATACGAGGGAGAGCTGAGGTCGTAACTTTCAACTGGGAGCTATAAGTAGAAGCAGTCCAAAGGTCTAGGCTGCACCTCACCCATAGACTCTGTTTCTACACAATTTTTGAACTCATGTTTTTAATTTCTTTTGTGTCATATGTATTCATGAAAATGTTCCTACCTACCGAATGTGCTTTTAAATACTCTCTAGTAGTAACTATGAGCTGGTTCATAGAGATGCACAGGCTACTATGTGAGAAGTGGATGCTTCAAGGTTTCCTTGTCAACTTTCCCTCTGTTCATAAAAATTCTATGAACTCACTGTTTGGCAAGTATTGGAACCTTTCATAATTCATGCACAGAATTCATTCACTAGATTTAAAATACAGGTCCCAAAACTTAATAGCTAAATCCTCAACTTGCAAGTGCTGGGATCCCAAATGAGCAGCGATTTGTGTCTCGGCTTTTTCGCTTCTTATCAAACAAGCTGCTTGTGGGACAGCAGAGGACAGCCCAAAGCCTGCATGCACGTGGGAGACCTGGAAGAAGCTCCTGGCTCCTGGCTTCAGATTGGCTCAGCTGAGGTCTTTGAGGCCATTTGGGGAATAAACCAACAGGTGTTAGATCTTTCTATCTCTCCTTCTCTCCATAAATATGATCTGTTTTTCCAATAAAATAAATTAATATTATTCACCAAGGGAATTGCTGTAACTTATAAAAATTTAAATTTAATGAAGGTTATACATGAACTGCTTAATATGGTGATCATTTTAATCATCTACTTAAAGCTGACATTAAGTCATTGTAAGTCATCTGTACAAATTTTCTTGATTACATCATTAAATGTGTACATATAGGTCTTTCCTCTCTTGGAGCCCCCTTTTGTTGTGGTACAGAAAGTTACTGCTGGCTACCACGGTAACCAGAGAAGGGCTGAGCTTGCCTCCAACCAAACCTGGAACAGATAGCGGAATTCTGTCAGGCCCCGCAGGTGGTGGAACCACCATTGTACCAGTGAGAATCACACACCCATATCCCCCAACCAATAGGGGCCGAGGTGACCCCCTTCTTGGCTTCCGTGTCAAGAGGAATTTAAAAAGCCCTTTCCCGTGTCTTCCTTGCTCTTCTTTCTCTGCAGCCCACTCCTTCACATCTGTCCTTCCTGCTCCATGGGGAGGGAAGACCATGATTGTGGTGCCCTGAAGTAAAGGCCATCTAAATTCTTTTCATGTATTTGGCTTGAGTTACTCTTTCCCTGGCAGTCGGGGAATCGACTATTTTGGCCAGTGGCGAATCTAACAGTGACCATCTTTGATGCCTTTAGTAAACCTGGCTTTTGCCAATTGACATTGTCCATGTGAGAATTCTTTCTTCTTTTAAGACTAGAACTGAGGTTGCTTTGTCTTTTCACCTGAAATTCCCTAAAACAGTTTTGTTGCTGTCACTCAGAATGAACTGCAGTGAAACTTGGATCCACTTTGAATCTGACTCCATCCAGCACTGGGTCATCTAGATGGGTGGTGAGCTGCAAAATGCTCTCATGTTTGCTGTTCAAAGACTCTGGTCTCTGAGAAACATCAGGTTCCTGCCAGCCAGATAAAAGTTGCTAATGCAGCTTCCTAGGGAGAATTTTAATTCCCACATTTCCTTGTTGCTTCACCTACTGAGTCATTGACCTAAGCAATAGCCAGGCCTGGGAATCTCTCTCCAAACTCCAGCTCAACACATCTTTGCTAAGACTCTTGCCGGAGGCTCATTGTCAAAATCAGGC